ACTTTGTTGCGTTTATAAGCTCTCAATTACCTGAGAATGAAGTGGAAAAACAACACTTTCTCAAAGCAACACTTCATGTCTCATACAATAGGTGTATGAAAATATAAAAAACTGAAACATCCCTAGAACTTGATCAACAGCCTCCTCTGTTGGTCATTTCTCCTTTATTAGTAAGTACTCAACCAGGGCTACTGAGGTGTATTCAGTGCCTATTAAAAGGTTCCAGAGACATAAAGACAGGTAACAAATCATTTATTATGCTAGACAGATGAAACAAACTGAGCCATGATAGCAGCAATTCAACTATTGGAATATTTACACTATCACTTCACACCAAGGATATATGTAACCCTTTACAATGTAAACACATGATACAAAGACATTTTTTTGAATGCTAGAAAACAAGCCAGTCTATCCACCAAAAAAAAAAAAATGAAACAAAACGAACCTGCTTTCAGCAACAAATACCTGCTTGTACAATTAGGGGTTCATCATGAACATTTTTAAAACAAGTTTCCACAGGTGAAAGACAAACTCTCTCACACACTGTTATTGTAATTCAACTGGAGAACTATGAGCCTGACAGTGAATGTGAAAATAAAAAAGACAAACCATTAGTTATGATTGTCTTTGACATTATTTTTTTTCAAAGAATGACATTTTAAAAGGTGAGGAAATAGAAGTACACCTAATGGCTAATCAGTTCTGTATTTTAAAGAAACAACATACTGTATGTGCACACTTTCACTCTTCACACAGCTGCCTCTGCTTGGCCACCGAATGAATTACACCTACTTCTGTGCAGTGAAATCGTATATGGTGATATTCATTATTTTGGACTCCAGCAAAAACTTCTGAAACAAAAATGAACTACAAAAAAGAAAAAAAAAAAACTGAGTGTTGGTACAATGATTTTGTGAAGAAGAAAGAAAAAAATAAATCAGTCAAGTATACAGTGGGAGGTCTGAACTGCTTCGGCAGAGCAGCAAACGCCATAAATGTCACGTATAACATCGACGTCCATTGATTTCACAACATAAAGAACTGAGGGTGAAGTGTTGTTGGTCTTTCCCGTTCTGTGTGTATGCACACACACCGTGGTAAGAGAATGTGTGTTTGTGGCTGAGTGTGTTATTGAGGGAATGCCTCATCTTTCATCAGCATGCGCGGGCTTTCCTGGTTGTCCATGCGACGTCTCGGACCCATCATGCCTATGGAAATAAACACGAGGCTGGATGTCACCAGACAATTGCACAATTTAAAATTAGTATTTACTTCATTTCATCATTTCTCTGATCAACAAGAGACAGATATTCAAAAACGATATTGAACCATGGACCCTCATCTAGGCATGCATTTACTGGACAGGTTGGGATCCATTTAGGTATCTTTTAAGCAGGAATATATAAATTTAATATAATAGCTGTACAAATTGTGATAAAAATCACTTTAAAAAAAAGAATTATCTCCTTTAGTGTCATAAAACATCTGAGCTCATAAAAAAAAAATCACATATTTCATACTTAATAATGTAAAAATGTAGTACATTTTAGCCTGGTTGGTCACAGTGTATATCACTAACAGCGATCTTATATACATAGGCAGTATACTGATATACTGATGCTGATGTTCCTGTGACTTTCTCTGCAATTTGGGAACATCAACATGCAAAAGGGTCGAGAGCAAACATTCAAAATACAGTTACTTAATTTAACTCAAATGTTTTACTGTATCTTCTAAAGGTTGTAGCATTTTATTGCGTATTTAGTGTTTCCTAGCCTCATAGATAAGATTAATAGAAGCATGAAATCAGTCAGGAATATTACATGAGCTGACATGTGTTCCTGATGTGCTGGGATTATAAATATTCCCACAATAATTGTTGTATTATATTTTAGCAGGTGCTGCGTAAAACTGAACGAATATTTAAAGTACACAAAGCAAAAACTGCAGAGAAGCTATCAAGAAGAGATTTAAGGATTCATTTCCACTTACTGTTCTTATGTTTGAATGATTTGGATCTTCTGGGTGAGTTTGGATTCTGAGGTGGAAAAAGAAAATATAATTTAGTTTGAGAAGATAAATCAGGAGTAATGATTAACAGGGCTGCACCGATACCGAGTCTGATACTGTGCTCATGTACCCGTAACTGTAATCACAAAACAACTCAGATACTACTTTATGGTAGCGAAATGTTATGGAACCTCTCCTTAGGTGAGTAGGTAGGAGCATCTGGTATAAATAAAAGATGTTATCAAGTAGAATTGTAGAAGTACTTATATCTCTACTCGGTATCAGCAAGTACCGGAACATAAGTACTTGTATTTCTCAAAAAACAGGAGTATCAGTGCATCCCTATTGAGAAATATTGTGTTAAATGTGTTAAATATAAATTAGAGAATGATGGAGATAATAATAACAGTACAATGTTAACTAATTGTTAGGATTTCACAATGAAATGAAAAGTACCTTATCAGATTTCCTTTTCTTGGCTGTAAAAGAAAGACATTGCATTTTAGATTTGAGTAATTTCACATATGTCCAACTTCATTTGAGGAATATCTTGGCAATCAACATTCAGCACCACTAAAAAAAAAGGGCAAAAGGTAGCATCAGTTCACCTTTCTTTTCTGCCCCGTAAGACCAGTCATTATCATTGACGTCGTCGTTATCCTCTTGGTCGCTCTCTGACTTGTTGTTGGTGTTGTTACCTGTGACTATTCTGTAAAAGACAAAAGAATAAGGCATGACACACGCACGCAGTGACTCAGCATTACTCACTGCAAGTAACAACATTTTTGAGGGTGAAGATTATTGAGCTAACAGGACAGAGGAAGAGAGAACTCTCAGAAGAACTCTCCTTGTGTTGCTCTCATACCTGCGGTTGGCTATGCGGCTGCTGTTGCGTCCCATCCCCAGGCATTTCTCCAGGTGGGGGGCAAAGCGTGAGGCAGCGATGCTTCGGCTGCAGTTGGGACAAACGCACTCCTTGTTTTTCCACTGGTTGTACACCTGGCCAAACACATCCAATCCCGGCTGGTCCACGATTTCTGGAAATTGAAAGCAACGGTTGATAAAACGCTTCTGCTTTGTGGTGTAGTTACGTACAACGGACACGGATGGAGGTCAAAATACACAAAAACCTACATTGCCTGAATGTACTGTTGCTATTTTTAGCCTTTTTTATAATCTAGTGTCATTAATGTGAACAAGAAAATTAATTGTTTACTACCCTGAGGTAACAGTGTGGCAGCTTGAGAAATATTTTATCTTTATTTCACCAGAAACCCCCCCGAGTCCCTTAGACAAAGTCAAAGACAAAGTCATGCTCACCAAAGTCCCTCATGCTTTCTTGGTCCGTGTCATCCAGGAAAAAATAGCCCTGCTTGACGGCCCGGTGGACCTCGAAGCAAAGACCCAGGCATGCATCCTCCACCAGGTCAGACAGGATGTCCTGAGCTAGGCCCTGGCAGGCAAGGGAGGGAGGCAGGGAGGAGAGGGGGAGAGAGAACACAAGTCAGACCACTGTTTGCAAATGTAACGTGCATTTCCAAAGCTACTTCTAACACTGTAACCTTGCTCTCCTGTACCTCCAGCTTGCTGTTGTCCAGGCTGGACATTGAAACCTCCTCCATTTTCATTTGCCAGAACTACCAGATGAGCCGACGCTGCTGTGGTCATGCTGTAGCGCAGCAAGCATCGGCCAAAACAGGGCTGCAAGCAGGAGGGAAAACACAGTTAGTTAGCAGCACAGTGGCCCCATAATCCTGTCTTTAAACCAATGAATGTCAGTGCGTGGTGAACATTTGACGCCTTGGATGAGATGCAGCTACTTACAACTGCACGTTGAAAACACTGCCGGGGAGACACTTCCCACGTTTATAACCTGCGAATAACACAAAACACAAGCACTTAGCGTCGGTGTTGTGGCACTGCAACATCAGACGGAGCCAAACACGACGCCAGCTCCGTTTTCACAACACCACCCTGCCACGGGTCCGAGCATTATGGTCTAAAAGGAGAGTAGCTTAGCCAAAAACCCTGCCGAAGAAAACAAAGAGCGTGGCTGTGAATAGGCTGGAGGATTTGAACGTGCCAAGAGGGGTTTGTAAGAGAGGCACAAAACCTCCAGGTCAACAGCGGCTAAAGCTAGGAGCTAAACGTGTCAAAATGTATCAAGCTGGCCGGAGTAATTAATACAATGTAACACATTTGTAGGTGACTGAATGGTTTAAGAATTACATTTGACTACAGCGAGGCTCGTCCGCGAACCTAACACCGCTGCTGCACTGCGGCTGTTCGCCTCTCAACCCCGCGAACAAACCCCTTCTGAAGGAGACAAACAAAACCCAACCCCCCTGTATATACCCCCCTCGTGAAGCACATCCACGAGGAGCACCGCTATCACAGCTAGGCAAATAGCTAATTGTGTTTATTTACCTATTTCGGCAGGCATCCATCTTTACATCATAGAGATCAGACAGTAGCAATCGATCGCTACACCGAGTTTCCACCGGGCGCTTCCTTTGCAGCACTGCCGGGGCTTTTCTCATCCACACCAGCATGTGACTGCGTGCTGCCCCGGGCACAGTTAGTGGGGGGAAATTGGCCTTTTGTTTGGCTTTGTAGTAGTTATCTGATTAATGTGCATTACTCTCAACGTTATCAGTACTTACTACTATTTATTAAACTTGTGTCTGGCCACATACTGTAAAATACATTACTTCTATATACAGTATTATAATGTACACACTTAGGGTCTTATCTTATTGTATTTTACATGTATATACCCATATAGAAATGTTCTACTCTATATATATAGTGTTAGATATTGTAATGTAATTATTTTTATTTTATATTCTTTAATGTGAGCAACTATATGATAAACAGTTTCCCTCTGGGATCAATAAAGTGTTTCTGATTCTGATTATAAACCATCGTGGCTCTCGTTTGTGCCTTAATATGTGAACTTTTCTTTTTCATGAGACAATCCAAAATAATTCACATCTTTACATAACATCTTTATTAGAAAGTTGTTGTTTTTTTAACAAACAATAAAATGCAAGGGTGTACTATGATAAAAAAAAAACTGCAAAACTTAAAAAAATGTAAAACAGCTGATAATACAAATCACATAATTCGATTAACTGTTCAACAATTTTGAGCCCAACATCATTAGTAAAATCTGCTCCTCGTGGTGCTTTCTCTAAATGTATACATACTTGTTATCATAGTATGAAAATAGTTGAGCAATGGTACAATAAGGTGTCCCCGTAGTCTCCTTTATTCACAAGGATAGCTCGATTTACCTCAGATGCATTAATGTTGTAGGAAGGACCAGATGAATCTATTAACCCAACGTCAACAGTATTCCAGTGGCAGATTAGAACAGAACAAGGTAACAATAGCACAATGTAAGATGAGATAATGAAGGTCTTAAAACATGTTTTTTTTTACAGAGGACCTACTATTTCTTACAGTTACAATAGTTTTTCTTTTTCTGAAGCAGATTAAGTCAATTCTGAACTCTAATATAATACATGCTGTAATAGTGTTTTTTTTTTTCCAAACTTAAACTCTGAAGAAGTTTAACACAGTATGTAACCTGGGCCTTTTGTGGTCCCTGGGAGTCTGGGGTCCGACGGCACTTTGTAGTCCGGAAGAGCACTGGTGCTGGCAACCTTCCATCCAACATGGCTGCCAAACATTGTGGCGTTAAAGTCAGCCATCGGAGGGATCGTTCATCATCTCAAATCCAGAATCCGGGTCTGAACTTGATGTGTGTCTGTGTGTTCGGCTGTCCGTCTCGTCACCATCTAATAAATCTCAAACATGATGTCATCCTTTACTTCTTCTTCTCCTTCCTCCTTATCATCCTGTGGACCAACAGTTGATATTTATAACAGCTCAGTGGACGGTTCAAGTGTACAAAACATTTTTTTTTTATTCTAACCTCTCCACATTCCGCCTCTTCTTCATCACCGCTGCTGTCCTCCATGTCTTCATCTTCTGAATCCTGTGTGACATACAATACATTCAGACTAATAATTGAGCTTTTAAACCCTGAATGCAGCATTTAGAATATCCTTTTCATTCTATGAATTATATCATATTATTCCTTCTAGACATACAGTAAATTACACAATTAACTGTGACTTTACTGACGTTATACCATTGACTATATATTAATTAGGATAAATCCAGTGAATTTGATAATTAGTTGTGTGAAAATGTGAGTCATTGGTAAACCTCACTATAATACTGCCTGCGCTACCAGAGAGTTGTGCATTGGTCACATCATGAATGTGTGTGTAAGAAGAGTGTGTGTTGCATCAACACATCCAACTTACTGATGGTCTGTCCAAACTTTCTTCTTTTATGTTATAAACTGTTGTATCAAGGTATTTATGTTTCTGCAAAGAACAAGTACAGCATATTATGAATATAAGAAAACAATGTTAGAAAAGAAACGTTAAAGAGAGAAACAAATGTGTGGAAGTGCTTACACTGGGGTTACGCATCCGATATTGTTTCTGCTCTTCTGGCTTCAATGTCTGAAGAATGTAAAAGGTGACACATTTGTTTGAGTTTGAAAGGAAAAAAACTGCCTAGATTTAATAAAAACATTACAAGGAGAGGGTTCTTTATACCTTAAACCACTTCTGCAGCTCCATCGTGTATTTTCTAAAATTTTCATTGACTTTCACTTTGTAGCATTGCTTCTCCATATTGGTAAGGTTCTTCCATATTTGGTTGGCCTTGATGAAGCGCTCCTTTGAATTTGGAAATTCCCTCTTAAGAAGTTCCATCTGATCTTTGCAGAAAAATGAATTACTGGATCTGCAAGTAAAGAAAAATTCAGTTACATGTTTGTCTGTAGATAGACAACCATGAATTTGATTTGTTGCTCATAAATGTTGTTTGAAGGTCATTCTCACTTAGCTGGCATCTTGGGCTCGCCAGGAAGTTTCTTGACACGATTCACTTGTCTTTTAATGACCTGCATTAAAAAAAGAATCCCCACTGAGTAGTTGTTGTTGTAGGGTTGGATCTAGAGGGGTGGCCTAAATCATATTCTTTCGCTCCATGCCATCCTCTTGCCACTCTGTGAATATTTCTCTAGATCTGCCCCTGGTTGTTGTTTATATAGGCATAGTGACAAAGAGAGAAAGACAGAGAGAAAGACAGAGAGAGAGAGAGAGAGAGAGAGAGAGAGAGAGAGAGAGAGAGAGAGAGAGAGAGAGAGAATCAGAATCTGTTACCGCTCACCTTCGGTCTTTTGATGCCATGCTTATTTATGATCTGCTGCTGCTCCTTTTCATCAAAAGTCTGAGGAACATAAACATCATCTTAACACAAAGTCCGTCAGCATCAGCTCATAGCTGCACCTACAGTCTTGCAACTTACTTACCATCAGATATTTGTCCAGCTTGATCGAGTACTGCCTCTTCAGCTGAAAAAAAAAAAGTATTTAATTAAACTGATTTTTACGGTGTCCCAACATGATAATCTTGATTTCAGAGAACAAGTTATTATATTCCATTTGCAACAGTTCATACCTCTTTGCAGCGTGTGCTGTACTCGTCCCGCTGTTTTTCCGTCAAATCTCGCCAACGTTGGGCCCATTTACTCACGTAGTCATTTCTTTTGACGCCCGCCATAGATGACACTTGCTCTTTGCAGAAAAGATTATAGCCATTGCTAAAGACACACAAAAACACACACAACATATGCTCAGCTACTGGCAAATTATGCTTGCATCCTTGTTGTCAGCTTGTTTAGTTCATTAAACCAACAATAAAAACTGATTAAAAGCCGAGTCTATAATAAGGCAAACCTCTAGTGAATGGCATATTGGATGAGGATCTAATTGAGGTCACCTTTTGAGGGCTCCAGTGTGACGCACCCTTGATAAACACATATTTCAAATGTTTTGTCATGGTATAAAAGTTACTGTATTGCCTTTGTCGACACTTAAAAGCTGTGAAAAGATTCAATTAAAGTTTACAGCATCATCTCTGCTGCCTGCTGCTGTTTGATTATTAGTCTAAGTACGACTGTGCCTTAAGAATGCACTTTGCTTTTGGCTCCTTCTGAACTGGCGGCTCCAATAACATCCTCATCCACTATGGTGGTGGTAATTACTTTTCACCCACTCACATGAAGCTTCACAGTGAATTTATAATTTATAAAACGAATAAGGAAATTATATTAGATGACACTGAGTGATTAGAGTGAATATGATAAAAAATATTGAATGATATGCAAGTTGCTTGTTTGTGAACATAAAACTAAGCAAAACAAGTCATTTCTAAGCTCAACTGTCAGTCACTGTTACTGTACAGAGTGTGTGTGTGTGTGTGTGTGTGTGTGTGTGTGTGTGTGTGTGTGTGTGTGTGTGTGGCTTACAAAGCAGGCTTGGGAGGCAGGCTCTTCGCATCTTTAGTCTGTTGTTCAGAGGTCACACATTAATTTGAAGACAATTAATATTTCAAGATCAATCAAATATGTGCCCTCCCAATGAACTATTGTCATATGAATATAATATAATCAACAAAACAATACACCTCATAAGTTTCAAGACTGATGAGTCATTATTGTTTTGCAGGAGATCTGTATTAGTTGACACTACTGAACTCGTGACTACTAGACACTAGACACTGCAGAGAGAAATTTTTGCTTTAACAACATGAAGCTCTTTAAAGCTTATGTGCACTGTGCTCACCTGGCCAGGACTGGAAAGGCTATCTTCGGCTTCAACAAGGAGCTCTGTGAGGGTCCGAGTCTTTCGCATCTGAGTAAGAACAACAAGGATATAACATTGAACTAACAACATTGATCTTTTATAGTCTGTCTTCATATTTACTTCAGCTCAGACCGTCAAATCTAAAAAGAAAAACATATACACCTTAATGGTAACAAATGAAAAGGGTTTAATTACTGTGGTGATACATAATGTTGTAGTTATCTGTTTATAAGACAAATGTATCAAAAATACAAAAGCTACTGAGTGGGCCTTTAAGTTTAAGTTAAGGGCTAAACTGTGACTCACCTCCTGCAAAATGTCCATCCACTTTCTCCTGCATGCCAGAGCAGAGAAAGGAGGGAAAGCTACCTTCTGCCAGTCAACAGCTTTCAGTCCTTCAGTATACTCGCTCATTCTGTCTTGTTCTGGGATGCTGGTTTTCATTGCAGCATAGAGCTTCTGGAGGTTTGCCTTGGTCCAATCTGTAATTAACAGCATTCATTAGACCAATCACAGGCAGCTCTCAGCATTATAAGAGTTTAATATCAAATGGCAAGAAAGAATTTAAAGACTGTGTTACTGTTTATTGAACTGTACCCACCAGATGTTTCATCCTCAGCATTATTTTCTTTCATTTTCTCCCGATAAACTGCAGAAGTCTTGTTGTTGTTACCGGTAGTTGTACACAAACTGGACTCCTCCCGGAAACTGTTCAGCATTAGCCAGTTAGCTAACCTATAAAACTTAGTTTACTTACCAACAAATTAAAAAAAACAGTTAGCGGTATTTAACTTTAACTTTAACGATACGCTACCGTTACAAGCGCCGTTGTTACCGTATTACAAATACACCACATGGACCGTTCACTTGTTTTTCTTTTAGCCAACAACAACGTGTAGAATCCGCCATGCGTGGTGGGCGGGTCTTTGCTGAGCGAACAACCAATCAGGAACGAGAAAGGAGGTGCGTCATGTAAGATAGCCAGAAAACGGCCAATGAGCTGTCTCTTTTTCTTCTCCGTGTTTATTGGCGGATGACAAGCTTCTCAGACCAGCGTTGAGGTTGGGAAGCGCCATCTGTTTGAGCGGGAGGGTGTCAAATCATGGCACTAAATTATCTGATATGAATAATATATTTAAAAAAATTTAAAAAATCTATAAAATGCCTGGACATTGTTTTAGTGTATTGCATTTTGAAATGATGTCAAGATTGATATGTGAGAGCACCCATCCTATTTTTATTCTGGTGTCCCACTCATATTGTTAATGTATGTACAGTTACCAAAGTGAGAAATAATCAATTATAAACTTGTAAATCATTTAATTGGTCCCTGCTTTGCTTAACCCTAATCAAAAGCTAGCCACATCCAATGAAACTAAGCTGATTTGTCTTTTTGGAGGTAGTTTTTTATTATTCATAGAAAGTTGATAAGAAGACAGTTACACAACACACAGCATAGCTACATTTTAAAAACACACACAAGAATTCAAAGTTTTCTCTCTCCCTGTATTGTGGTGTTGTCTTCTTGCTCTCCAGTGTTATTCTTGATAAAATATCTACACTTTGCTTGCATCATTGCTTTATAAATCATGTATTATTTAATTCAGAGATGGATTTTACTTGCATTAAGCAAGTGAATACAACAAGTTGCACATGTTGCAACATTACATTCAATGTACAATTGCTTGGAAAAACATACAATTTTGGCTTTTAATATTTTCCATTCAGCATTTGATCTGTCCATTTTTGGAGTGCTGGAATGATGATGAAGATTTTTTTATTTCACTTTGATTTCATCTATTATAAATGCTTTAAAAACATTTACATATTTGTTCTTTATAAAAAATAATAATGTTTTATGAACTTCCAGCAGAGTGTAAGGCACAAGCTATTAGAAACAAAACAACATAATGCAAATAATTTACCTGAGTGACTGTTTAAAACTCTTCAGGAATGTCTGACAGTTTTTACTATAAAGATAAATCTATATCTGCATTTTTCATGAAAAAAAACACTCAAAACATGTGCTCATAGCTAGATGAAACATTCATTTGAGCCATATATAAAATAAATATCTTTCTGTTAAAATTAAATGTTGCTGGCAGCTGTCACAAAAGATACATCTACAATGGCATTTGAGATTCACAATATACATCCTGCCCCGGCTCCTCCTCGAAAGTCACTTTGGCGTCGTCAGCATCCAGCTAAAACCGACAGAAAAAAATGTGCTTAACACCCACACATACATCTCATATATCCTTTCAGGCTTTATATATTCCTAAAGGTGCTGCTTACATCTGTGTTACTTTATTCAAATAACAAGAGGTAACCACTTACACATTTCATTTCCAGTTCAGTGAAGAGACGCCCGGTCATGAACATGCGTAGTGGGATGGTAAGGATGAGTATGAAGGGAAGTGCGAGGGATACTGGACTGGACTTAATAATCCACAAAACGGCAAGGCAGACAACCTGGATGGCTGTGAAAAAATGCATTCGTCCCGTGCTCACCTGCAGTAAAACATGTTAAATATTAGTCACATAGATGATGACTGCATGGTCAATACATGATATGAGTTTATATATACATTAGTTCAATTTATAACAAAACATCATATTTTCTATATTTATATTATATATGTAGCTCTTAAAGATGTAAAATAATTGCAGTGGAGTAAATATTTCCATCTGAATGGTTGTGGAGTCTAAAGGAGCATGAAAAATAAAGTACAAGTACCTAAAAATTGTACTTAAGGACACTACTTGAGTAAATGTACTTAGTTAAATTTCGCTACTGGTTGTTTAACAACATTACACTTGTAACCTTCTACAGAAGTACTGGTATGTGTGGAACATTTAAACTTAAAGTGAATTAGCCCTGGTGTGCTTCATAATTATTGGCTATAATATGATTCCATGTCAAGATATAACAAATAAAATCATGAATCATCATGAAAACATATGTGTTGCATGCTGTTTCTAAAGCACTTCAGTTATCCTGTAATCATGGGACTCTTACTCTGGTGGCGTAGGGTTCATCAGGGTGATATTTCTTAGGGATTAGCAGAAGCAACATACGATCCCACAGCTGGATGCCATTGAGTGATGTAACTCCCATGTAGAGAAAGATCCCAAACAAGGCGGACATTGGAATCATCTTTAGGATCGGCTCCATCAGAATTGACAGACCTTGGCACAAATAGACGTTCAGATAAAGTATGGTGTACTGTGCTTGAATGACAGACCTGTAGATTTCTAGACATGCAGTTGTAGAAAAAGATACATTAAGACTGGATGATTAGACGGCACGTACCAACCAGCAACGCCACCAGAATGCCACTGACCCTCTGCTCTATCACCTTCTCAATCACCGGTTTTGGTCCCTTGCTCATGACAGTGAGGGCGTTGGCATGGGTGACAGATCGCACCGTGGCAGCGCTGAGCCATGGCACACCAAATATTGCACCGAGTCCTCCCATGCCGACTAAAACCAGCAAATCATAGTGGAACCCAGAGCCTTTGACCATCTTCCTCTCAGGTTTACTCACAATCAGTCTGTTAACAGACATGACACGTGAATCAAGTTTGGCCAAAACTGGGAAATGTAATGTTTTCTGAGGTTGATAATTAGGTAAGCGATGTTGTTGTTGACTTACGTTGTGATCTGAGACTCCAGAAAGATCAGAATGAAGACAAGCATGGCTGGAACGCAGCTTGCAAACATCAGCCACACAGGGAATCCCTGGTGCTCTCCAAAGGGATTGATAAGCCAGCCTCTTTTGGCTGGGTTGGACACCATCAGACCTTTGGGAACCACTAGTTTCTGCAGAGAGAAAACAGTTTTGTGTGCTTTAAAAAAAGTTACAGTGTTCTTAGTGTAAAATTCTCTCTTTGTGTTTACTGGGAGCATAAACTAGACTTAGACATGGGGGCCAACCTGAGTGTAGGTATCCTCAATATTGTAGTCCACGACAACCATGAGGAAAATGGAAATAGGTACACCAAAGTCTCCAAGCAAACGTCTGACCTGGTAAGCATACACCAGAAACAAAGAAAATCAATTAATCAATTATAAATATATCAGTTATTAAAATGTAAAAAATATTGATAACTGGTTCATTTGTAACTGGGAATAGTCTTTAACGAAATAATCTGCAAATGGTCGCACAATCTTCGCCAACTCACCTTTCCAGGCAGAAAAGTGCCATTTTTGAACTGCCGCAGGAAAAAGCGATAAAGAAGCAGCCTAACATGAGGCACATGGAGAGCAGGGCTGTGTTGGGGTAAGGTGGCTTAATAGTGTTGACAATGACAGTTGAGTTTCCAGTAGCATTGTCATATATGACTGTCTCTTCCACCTTCGAGTGCCAGGGATTCTCTATAGTTGAATTCAGATGATCGTAATTCAGAATCAGTGGATGGGCCTTAAAGGTCTAAAGAGAAGTCAGGAGAGAGCGAGGAAGAATTGTAATCTGGCCATGTGACACAGAACAATAATCACAGACATGAGATTTCATTTGGAGAGATGAAATGGATGAAGATGGTTTTACCCTCCCTAGCTTGGCAAAGGTCTCATAGATGAAGATGAGGGAGATGAGGATGGAGAAGATTTCCTGGGTGAAGCGGGAGATGAAACGCACCAGGAAGCTGCCCTCAAACGCAACAATGACCACCACAATGATGACCAGCCACACTCCAACCCACACTCTACCCACAATATACTCAATGCCCTGGGACTTGCAGAACTGAGTGAAGGAAACAGAGGACGAGGTGAGTTCAGTGGGATCATATTGATCAGAAAAGACTATAAAAAAAAGTAGGTGGATATGTTTCAGTGTTACAACTTACAGCAAAGAATGCCTCCTCAAACACTAAGAGAGGACCAGAGAAACCAATGACCAGGACTGGCTGAGCAGCGATGAAGCAGAAGATGATCCCCTGAATGCTGGTGGAGATGAGGAGCTCTGGAACACCCATCATGTTGTCCACCTTATCAGCTGTAGTGGCAAAGACAACGGCAAAATATTATTATAGGATCTGTCACATACTGCAGCAACACCACGCCTATACAAACATGCACACATACCCAGCAGTCCTCCAAAGGTGATGGCAGGAGACAGGGCGGCAAAATAGATGAAGATGACGGCAGCAAGGACCTGCGCGTTAAGAGCATCTGTGAGGTCACTCTTGTAGTACTGGTAGCGCCGCTTCATGTCTCGAATCATGCCGCCAAACGGTCGACCAGTGCGGGACAAGGGGTCTTCAGGTGGAGGCCCGCTAGAGATGGAAACTGGGGTAAAACAAAAGTGAATACTAAAGTTTGAAGATAGCAAACAGTTCCAACATATAATTGGCTTGTTTATGTCGGTGTTGTATAAAAAATAAAGTTCTGTGACTGACTCACCCCTCCGAGGCTTTGAGTCCAGGCGGAGTGGGGGTTCGGAGGCCTGTAACCTGTCCTGCAGCAGTTTCTTCTGAAAGCTGATAATCGAACTGAGCATCGCCTCGTTCTGGATCTCGGTGGGCGGGATGACGATGCTGCAGTCCATGAAGTCGACCACGGCGTCTGTCAGCTCACGGGCGCTCTTTGCCTGAAACGCTGCCTGATTGAACACCTGGGATGGAGATAGTGGAGGGTTATTAAAACTTCAGATAGTTAACTTTGATAGCAGACTGGTAATACATTTCCAGCTTCTAAACATTTCTTATGAAACTTTGTGAAACAATTGTACTATGTATTTATACTTTGAGTCATTCTCCAAGTTATAAAAGGCCTACATCTAAACCTGACCATGCCACTTCAATCTTTGATAGGATGATGTAACCGTTGTATGTCACAAGTAAAGTATCAGATGAAGATGCCTCCAACACGAAAGAGTTTAATTTATTATCAAATACATGCAAAAGCTCCCTTCTCAGGTTT